CAGTGGGATTTTAGTAATGGCTCTTTTAAGTTACTGCTTTAAATAATTTGCTATCATTTATAATCTTAAGAAAATCCAGGATAGACCTCTACTATTAGCCAATAGGAAAGAAGAGAAGTAATTGAATACGCTTGCTTATTTTAATATTACCTAATTAACTATTATTGTTCTTTGGCTTTAAAAATTTGTAGCAAATTAGTCGTAACGATATATTTCACTCCTTCTCTTTTCTCTATAGCTTTAAACCAGATGGCAATCGAAGTAACGGAGGTGATTAATGATACAATATTCCATTTCCTTTAAAAAGCGCTCATTTGATATTATACTGAAAAGATAATAAATTGGGACTCTAACTCATGTCTTATTTTGGCATTGTAGATTTATTCAACAATATTAAACATTGCAAAGGTTTCAGTTTGCTTTCTATCAACGAAAAAAAGGTGAGAACAGCAAGAGCTGGAAATGTGCAATACGTTTTAGCTTGGTATTAATAGATTCTGTATTAAATAATATAATATAATATTATATAATATAATATATATATATATAATCACCTTATCTAGCTATGTCATGCTCTTTCTCTCAAACCTCCCGTGTATATAAGTGTAAAGACTTCAATTTTAAAGGTATTCAACATCATGCTATAGCTATACTATTCTAAGAAGTATTCTTAATGCCAACATGGATCTAATTGCTGCTCTATATTCGTCATCTCCTACAGGAATTCGCAACTAAACGCCATAAACTACCAATGGGTGGTGGCATAGGAATAAAAATAGAGAAAGCTAAACGGCAACAGATATTAAAGTTTTTAAATGAGAGTGGAGTCATTAAATTTCCAAGCAATGGAAAATAACGTCTGTACATAATTTTATCTTGCATTTTATTTTTAGTAATTTGATGTACGGTAACTTGGCGTGTGCAATCGTCATTGCTACAGTAGCTTTTGTTAAAGGTATATTATGAATATTGAGTATTTATTACTGTATTATACGATATTAGATGTAATTAATGAAAAATATTTACTGTATAATATTCTCATATACACTGAAGGATTAATTTTAATTGAAAAAAATATTTCAAAAGTGCTTACCTTATATAACGTGTCTTTTTACTGTAAAGTTTGCCATTATTTACAACTCTTATTACCGAAGAATTTTTCATAAAATCAAGTTTATTTCTTTTAGTTAGGTCATTAACTGTATATTACAAATCCTCTTTTTTAATCAGATAGAATATTAGTCCTGCTTTTATCATCAATTTTAGCACGGTTAATTTAAATTCAGTTAATGACGTTAGATATTAATGCGAACAAAATCAATAGCATAAGGAATATTTATGTCTTTAAATGTTAAATTAAGTCGTTTGTAATTATTACAAAAATCTCTATAAGAAATATTTCTCAAAAGCCTTCATTTTCTAGTATTCTTAAAATTTTCATATTAATTGTTCACTTGTATATAAAAAGCCAATTGAATAAAATTATCAAAAGTATTAACGATATAGCAACGCACCATCAGTTGCACTATTAATTTTTGTCTGAAGTATGAAATGATATGTGGCTGATCACAAATCAGTTGCAATTTTACTAATCAAAACAAACTACTAAAATGTGAATCAAGCTTAGCAAATGAATAATTTTGAAATCCAATAAGCCAATACATAATAGGTGGCATTCAAAATCAATATGCTTTCTGAAAGCTTTTACATTTATGAATGATTTACAATATAAAATCATGTTATCACAACACGATTTTTATAAATACCGTATTAGGGTATCCTAACATACAGTAGTACAATTTTATCATTTTCAAGATAAATCGAATATTGAATAATATTGCCAGAGTTGACATCAATAGATAGAAACGTAATTACTATATCGAATACCAAATTTTAGCTCTACTAATACAAATCTAATTTCAATTACATTTAGGTAAAATAAGCGCAAGTATTAAAACGATTCAAGTATATTCTGCATATCAATAAATTTCATATCGTCGCAGTGAAATCTTAAATATATTAAAGATTAAATTTATACACAGAAAACAGCGCCCTCACACTTAGTACCGTAAACAATGATATCATTCCTAGATAATTTGCTGTATTCCATGAGCTTTTTATGTAATTCTGAGAATCTTGGACGGCTACCCGGCATATTTCGCCAGCACTGCTGCATAAGCCCGTAAATTTCGACTGGACTGTCGCCAGGTATTGGTAAACGCAATGTTCCTTTTCGTAAACCTTCAGTGACTTGGTAATGCTTTAATTCACGATAAGGGAGCAACCCTAAAGAGAATACCTCCCACATAAGAACACCAAATGACCAAACATCACCTTCGATAGTGAATGCTTGCTCAAATAGCGCTTCTGGAGATCCATCTTAACGGAATGGCATTAGAGCTCGAATTCTTAGCGTAATATTCGTTTCGATAGGTATCTTTTGAAAGGCTTAAATTAGTAATTTTGACGTTCAAGGAAGAATCTATTACGCAGTTCCTAGCAGCATATCGCTATGAATAAAGTCTCGAGCAGCCATGAATACCAAACCCGAACAAATTTGTTGGCAAATACGTAATTTGCTATCATAATTCAAATGATCTGGAATTTCCATCGGCAGAATTTCCATCTCTCTTCGGCACGATAACAGATAACTTTTAAGGTCTCCCTAGTTTTAATATCAGATGATTTACAGTTTGCATTATATTATTCTTACTAATAAATTACACTGTGTCATAGAGTATACCTTATCTGTATATTCCACTATTAAAGAAAGCGGCTTTTCCTTTAGGCAAACACCCAGCACTTTCACAATGTTTGCGTGCACTCCAACCCTAAGCATCATATTTACTTGATACATGAACTCCGCACGTAAAGCTTCGGTACTATTTGACAGCTGCTTTATCGCCACTAAGGTTCTCTTTTCCTGATCTATTTTTAAAGAGAAGGAATATTGATATCAACATTTCTAACATACAGAATAATGAATAAGTGTAGTCGTAGTGGCATTAAAAAGCCTATTCTGCAAATATCATTAAATGACTAAGGGTTAGAATATGCAAAGTTTATAATAATTGTCGTCACATTGATTGAAATACTGTATTAAGTTAATACACAAGAAAATTAGCAAATAATGTAGGTTAAAATCATATAATTGCAAGATAATAATATACTAAGAAAATTAATTCAGATACACGCAGCAAATTAGTATTTAATTCAATCTATGAGGATAACTTTAACGCTAACTTTAACCCGTACGATATTGTCAGCAAATGTTGTGTACGATAATTATAGCACATATATCCAGTAAAGAAAACGAAGTAATAATGTAAACAAGTCCGATGTAGTGCTCAGATACCATCGCTGAGTATACCATGCCGACGTATCATACAACAGCTAATTTTACCGCATAGTTTAAGAATAATTTTTTGTTTTCAGCTACATTTTTGTAAAAATTTTTAATAGATATAGAATGAAAACTGAGCTCAATATTTACAGCAATTATACACATTCCACTAAATTGTTTATTTACACTTACAGGTAATACCCGCAGCCCAAGCTTTATAGACTGGACCAAATTTAGAATGACCCATCGTTTCGAAAATTTTTAAGCTTTGTTTCGGAAATTCCAATCTCAATGCAGCATCGCCGATAGTAAGCCGTCGGTTTCCAACTATTACTTCGCATTCTTCTTCATAGGGGCATTCGTCATCACCCTCAGGACCTGCCACAATTTCATTAGGGAAGTTCTCGAATTGCATAATATCTTGACCAACTTTATCTAAGCACGAATTAATACGATAGTAATCATTAATAGTAAAATCAAGGTATCTTTCAAAGAATAATCACTGCACTTACGCACCAATATCATATGTCTTCTTATCTTTTATAGTACGACAATAGAAGTATCCTATAATCATAATTAATATATAGCCAACAGCACAAACGGCAGCTATGATAATAGTTCCTCTACTAATCTGCCTTGGTTCCTTTGGCACAACCTCAATTATCACTGATGACGATACAGACCCGTAAGGGTTTACGGCAGTGCAACGATAAGGACCACTATCATCAAATTTAATTCCACGCAGTATTAAAGTTCCGTTTTCATATATTTCATAACTTGTTACATTATCGTCAGTTGTGTTATGATAGTTACTAAGATAAGGAAACTGCCACTCCAATGAAGGTTTAGGATAACCGCCAATATCTACCTTCAAAGTTACTGTATCACCGATCGTTGCACGAATAGTAGCAAATTGATCATGTTTGGTGAAATATGGGACATCTATATAAAATATATATAAAATATATTATCATATCATCATGGCTATCATGTCTTCTCCGTAAATAATGTATACGATTCCAAATTATAGCTTACATGCTATTTTTATATTAACAAGTTTCTGTATGGACGTAATAGAATCATTTGCACGACATATATAAATGCCACTTTCATTAATACTTGGCTGATTCAATTGCAAAATACTATCACTTTGAACGTTGGTCGCATTAGACTGGTATGGATATCCATCACGATACCAAGATACTTCAAATGGTCGTCCACTAATTACTGAGCAATTAATTCCTTTGATACGTTCATAAGGATTGAATATCAAGGTTTCAATTTCGTTAAAATTACTCAAAAAGCGTAAACGCACTGTAGAGAAAAAAATTATCAATATTGTTGATTAGTAATCACTAAAAGGGGGTATTAGTATACGTGTATGTAGCATTAATTTAAAATTGCATTATCAAATTTTTATCTTAATAGAACATACTTTTAACCGTTACGTAGGAGGTGGCAGTAATCGTGCCGCCAGTATTTTCAGCGATACAATTATACATGCCAGAATCAGACATTAAGGCTTTAGTAATTGATAAAGTCCCATTTAGATTCATAGTTATACGATCATTTAATTCAATCGGGTTGCCATTTTTAAGCCATTTTATTTCGGGCATGTAATTTCCAGTTGCCGAGCAGTCTAAGCTAAATGAATCCGTTTCGTCAACAGTAATACTTTCGGGTCTTACCACAAACATCGGAGGTACTAAGAAATATTTACCAATAAAGAGCTTGATAAATTTGTATTTGTTATGAAATCATCTGAAGAAACAAGATATAAGTATAATTAATCTTACCTATAACAATTAAATTGTAGGAATGACTCCTCTCTCCAGCAGTATTTAGTGCCTTGCATGTGTAAGTACGATTATCGGATATGACTACTTCTGTAATAAAGAGCTTATTTCCATTGACGATATAATGATCATCATTACTATCTATAAGACCACTAGATGTATGCCAGTTAGCAATAGCAATAGGGCGAGCATCAGGTAATTTACAAATTAACTCCGCGCGGTGACCAATCTTACTAAATAAAGACGTTTGTTGATCATGAAAGTATCCAATGTCTGTTGTAACGTGAAGACACCCGGTTATATAAATTAGTACAGGCAATGAAAGATATGATTAAGTAATCGTACAGTATTCAGAATTTTTACTTATCTATTACTCACATGGAAATTTTAGTTGTGCAGTGAGAGAAGTTTGATTTATAAAGTTGCTGCATTCGCAAGAATAATTTCCTTCATGTTTTTCGCTTACTGATGGTATATAAAGTGAATGATTCTGTAATACTTCGTAATCAGAATTGCTATGTAATATTTGACCAGCTACGTTTAAAACGGTCCATGTAGTTGCTTTCGAATTTCCGCAATCGCAATTAAATAGGGCAGATTCTCCAAGTTTTGCTAAGACATCCACAGGTGGAATTATAAACATTGGAAATGCAATTTCTTTGAAAGAGAGTAGAAATAATATTATCAAAATTCTTAACGTTATCAAAAACATGTAAA